AAGATCTACCACCATACTGTAGTGTTTCTTTGTCCCTCTTTCCTCTGTCTAGATTCTCTGACGTTTTGTGTATTTAGTTATCAAATTAAAGTACCTACAAAGACGGCAAAAATTGACGAGAAAGGTCCAGCCAAGGTGGATGCTAAAAAGCACTGCTCAAGGCAGGAAGTAAGTCTGGAATAGCTACCCACTGTCTATATCTCAAATGTATGCAGAAGCCTGACTGAACAAGGTAGCATTCACTGAGCGTTTTCCTAATCTAACAAGCTCTCTTAAGTAGTTTAACCTGAAGCAAAAAACAAAAAGCCTATTGTATTGCTTTTGGTTTCAAGGTTTGGACCTCATTCTTGAGTAAAACGATTTTTGGCAGGTTTATTGCAATTGTAACCTATAACGCCAGAGAAAACACAGTAGCGTCAATTTATCAAAACACAAACGATGTGCGTTTACTACATGTACCTAGCACTTTGGTTGATACGACGTTTGCGTTCATTTATAATTTCCAAGCAGGATATTTGTTACACTCTCTTTAAATCCAGTCGTGAATTTCCTTTCGGAAGGGCTTTTTCAGGGCGGGCATTCCAAATCGTCATCCTTTTACTCGACATTGCTGTGATTTTTCATAGTGGCGTTGTTTTAGTAACGGTTTTGAGAGGCGCTCTGCCCGTATACCTCGCGCATGTCCAAGTAGGAAATTTTTAGCATTTAGCATCTTTGCATTGTGAGCATATATTGTCTTCCAGCAAAGACACGGTGATTGTTTTTTCTTCTTTTTTTTTTTTTTTTTNAGTGTTCTCGATTTACAGAGTCGATTGCCCGCACTCAGTGGAATCTTCATCGTTCCCTCATCAATTCTTTTATCTAACCATCTCCATCTCGCTTTCGTTTGGCCAAAGCCATGTTCGGCAACTATTCGACCTTTGCTTAGTTCCTTGTTGAAATAATGGCGAGCTGCCGTCAGTGCTCCATTGTCCTGAAAGGGACGCATTAGCCATGACTTGAGTGGATATGCTAAATCCGGCCTAATATGAGGGGCCGAATTTGCGTGCGATTCAGCATCAATGCAGGGCATGATAAGGATTTTCTTTTCTTCCACCGGTGGGAAAAAATTGCTTGAACGCAAAACGCGCGCGTCATGCGTGCTGCCAGAAAAGCCTGTTGGCACGGACAAATACGCATCGTAAGCATCAACAATCCGTTGCACGATAACGCTGTAGTAATGCTTACGATTTAAGTAATCTTCGTGGTTTTCCTTCGGAGCTCTTATCGTTGTACGTTCCAAATCTCGACTTTTCTCGGAAACCTCAAATGCTTTCCCTCATCGAAGCTGGAGAGTTGGGGAATTTAAAGAACTTTTTTTTTTATAAAGGGGTAGATATTTTTGATAATCGTATCTATAACAAAATTCTCGATAGTGATTGGTTCTATTTGTCACGTAATCGGCGTGCGATCACGTGGGTGTCCAATTTTAGGTATCCAATTTGAACTTTTTTGTAATTGGATACATGTAATTGGATACCCATGTGATTCACACGTCAATTACGCGCGCTTTAATGTCTTCCTTCGGGATGTTTCCTACAGTTTTCAAAACTTATGAAAAGCGCAACAGACGTTTTCTCTCAAAAGAGGTTCTCAAAATACATTTTTAATTTCGAAATTTGTTATAGATACAAGTAATTGGACTTCATGTCGTACAATTCAGGGAAGTAATCGTGCTCGTAATTTCAAATCGGCCTCGCGCTACGCGCTCGTGCGATTTTGAAATTACTTTCTCGATTACCCCCTCGCTCGATTACTCCGCTCGGTCCAATTACTATTACTAATCGTATATGAATCTAGTTCCAGTCTTTTTATCCCTTTCTATTTGTATATTTTTAGATTTCTTACACAGCTTTTTAGATTTTTCAATATTTTAAATTTCATTTTATTAAGTACTCATTTATTTATTTTACGCAGGACCCATGTTGATAGCAGTTTATATAACTGAAATGGTCATCGTGCATAAATATGTTTATTTATTATTATTTTTCTATTATTTTTTTTTTTAGCTGATATAACGCTCCATTAGCAGTAGACTTGGCAATTCCAAACATAAGACCACATGAACGATAACTGTCTCCAGTAGCCAACCTCCACAGACCTATCGCTGTTTTTTTTTTCGACCGAAATTGCTGCGAATGTGCCTGTGCCTGTGTCTACAGTCCCTTGTGGGGGCAAAATTTGATCTATTTAATGAATTAATGAGGCCATTTTCGGCCGATTGATCACTCCTTGCTCCCACAAGGGAGTGGAACTAGGAAATATTTGCATTAGCAAAATGGCCTATCTGGCGTGTATCTCCAGGGCTACCTTTTCCTCGTGCCAAGTCCTCGCTGGCTCAGGAGGGTGGTCAGCACTGGGTACGAGAATCGTGGCTAACGTATCACATCACATGTCATGGCAGGCTCCGATCTTTCGGGTCTTTTTGAATAGCATATCAAGGTTATCTTACGCTGGAGGCATATGCGGTAAAAGTGACTCGATAAGTAAAGATAGCGACTGAAGATCGACATCGCTGATTTAAAGATGAACACATATCTTGGCTGAGCTCATCATCGTTTAAACGTTCTTTAGTCATGAGCAAATAATAATGGTTAAGCTCCTTAGTTCAAGGGCAAAGATTAATCCGTTTATCCCGCCAGAGGGATTACTGTCAATTCTGCTAAAAAATAAGTCTACACGAAAAGTGGAACACACGCAAAGTGCATCATTAAATTGCATGATACATACAGTTTCTTTTTTTCAAAGATGTCAATTCAAACTTTAACCCTTATTCATGCCGAAGGTAATTAATTCTCTATCATTCTGGAGTTTATACCTTGGTCAGCCGGCGATAGCAAGAGAATCCGCCTGGAGTTAAAGGCCCTGAACTCAATTTTGATATCGAAGATATCACCACACAGCGGTGTGGTCTAAATGTTTAATTTAGGAAAACTTCCTTAGAAATGTTTTAATGCCCATTAAAGCTTGTCGACTTGAATGATTCATAACTCTTTATACAGTAATCAGGTTCTTCTAACAGAGCCTGAACGTACAAGCGAGGGAGCCTCCAATTTAACTCGTCAGCAACATTAATTCAAGATGATCGCAATTTCTGTACTAAATTTGTCTCGATTACGTTTATATATAAATCGTTGTGTAACAAAACTGAGAAACTGAATACATACAGATGTCTATCAATTTAAGGGGCGCACGAACAGGTTATCAAATGATTCAATTTACTGGAGATCGACAGACGCTAAAAAAAAACACAGACGCTAAGAAAAAAAAGAAAGAAATATGCCTTTCGGCATATTAAAATTGCTCAGAACACGAACGGGGTTGTGATGAGTGAGTAAACCCGTTTGTCCTGATTAGAAATAGTACAGACATACACATGGAAAATTTCTGACCAATCATGGCTGCATGATAGGGGCTGTGTATAATTGCACGCGGGTTATCTGAAAGTTCCCTTGCGTCTCCCGTGTGGAATTTTCCGATAACTATCTTTTTTATATACTCTCTGATGCTATTTATTTTCATTTTTTTTCCACTCTGGAAGAGAAATAACTCACGAAATTTGTATTGTACGAAACCACTTTAAAAGGTTGACAAGTTGGAAAGGAAATCGGGTTGGATAAAGTATCAATCTCTTATTCAACATTGTTTGTATGTTACGCAACAACCGTAGAAATATACAGCCAAAACGTTTAGTGTGAATCCTACACGTTTTTCTTGTGTAATTTGATTCAACAGGCGATCAGAATCGTTTTTTCCTTGTGATCGCCTGCCATATGTCTTTAAATTTAATTAACTGAGTCCATTTTTGGCTTTGGCTTCAGTGGAGGCGGAGGAGAGTTGTTCAGCGCCAGAGTTTCGCGATAATCAACTACCGCCGCTTGCTGGGTCTGCCAAGGTCAGTGACTTCATTTATTGATTTATCATTTTTCGTCACATGTCTTAAAATAACAATACCATTATTATTGCCTTAGAGGTAAATTATAATAAAGTACGTTTTCCTCTAATTAATTGAGGCTTTATAATAATGAAAGTAGTTTTTAAAATATCAGTAGATTTTCAAACATTTCACATTAGATCTCAATATCGCATTATTGGTTTTTTGCAAATATTTGTGACATTATTTATTTTATTTTCGATGGAGGGCAGGCTTCCGCGGGGTGGCTCATAATCTGCAAACTTTATTATTGTTTAGTTTAAGTGTTCTACGATTCCGGTAGGAACTTTCCAGAAGCGATCATTCACTATTTTGTTAAACCATGAAGGTTATTGTTTATGAAGGAAGACACTGAAGGAGTCTGGGCGTATTAATCATGGAAGAAATTAATTGGGCGTAAGTAAAGGTACACATTTAGCAAAATACAGCAGTGTTAAAGAACGAAATGAATTATTCAATTTGTTTTGAAGTAGTTGAAACTGGACCGTTCTTGTTCTTGACAGTGTTCTTGATTTTCAAACCTGCATAATAAACAACTATCATGGCACGCCGCCGTAATAGCTTTACACTTTGAAGAAGTATACTCATTACTGCCATGTGACGGTGCTTGCGTTGAAATCTTCGTTATTTGACCGTTGTTTTGAGTCCAAGTCAGATAAATTAAGAATTAATCGTCTGCTCTCTTCGCGCCAGGCGACACCCAAGGCCTCAAAAAGGTCAAAAATGTAATAATTGAAAAACAGCTATCGCACTCGTTTAAACCTTTCAGAAATCTCTAATCTTGGAGCAAAACAGCCAGTCGCCAGAAGTCTTGAAGGAATAAAAGAATCATGTTTTTAATAAAACGGTGTCATTTTGGGGGTTACTTTATCAAAACCACATGCATAAACTCCCCTTTCGCACCGGCAAAAAGTGTAGTTTACCATTTTCTCCACCTTTATTTTCTGTACATGGTTTGGATTGTCTGAGGTTTTTTTAAATGGTATGTTTTAAGTCATCGTTTAAAATGGAGAAAACAAAGATAACGGATGGTATTTCAGAAGGGTGGCGCAATAGCAAAACCCGAAAAATCTTTGACCCTCAAAATAACAGAAATAGCTAACATGTTGACATTGATAATGAAACTCGATAAATTATAAAAATGAAATGATGTAGAAATTATGTACAATAAAAGTTAAGAAGACCAATTTTGGAAAATTAAATCATTTTGATTTCTGTAGCTTTTTTCTTCAGCGTCGTTTAGAAGGTCAAGTCCTTTCGCATCCCTTTCCTCGATCTACCCTGAGTTTTACAACATGTTTTCAAACGTACCATCTTTAAATATCCCCAATAGAAAAGGCACAGAACGGCCAAGGAAATAATATCCCGACCGCTCATTGATTTAAAGCCTCTCGAGAAGTGTATAAGCGGTCTAATATGCTGCCAGTATTGGGTCATTTAATTCTGCTACTGAGAGGCGGTCGCTTTATTTTAAGAGGTTTGTTGTTTTAAACTAAGAGTCGTGATGTATCCTTAATAGCTGAAAAGGTGGTCGCGAAGAATTCCATTGCTGAGAGAAATTTCGGAACTGCTGTCTATCATTGTGTCCGAATGTATTTATCTGTGAACGAGTTAATTTGTCTCTACAGGGAAACAGTGAAAATGGGTTTGTTATATTCGACGTTGTAATTGTCTTTTAGGAGAACCAAAACAGCATCGTATTCAGAAGAATGTTTCTTTTGTAAACCAAACGTTTAAAAATTTCCTTTTAAAAATAGAAGATAAACCAAAGGCTACTTGGGGTCACCACAATCACACAATCAGAGAATTTTAGAAGAGGTAGCTCAAATGAAAACGTTCTGATTCTTCGACTGAAAAACTCTAGAAATGCTCTAATGTATTTATTTATGATGGTAGACCAACGTTCCACGAAGTCTATCCACGAAGTAAGTGCGATTTTGTTAACAGTCAACGTTTCGGCAACTTTGCGGATCATTGTTCTTTTAATCTGGCACTTCACGCGATCGGGTTAAAGGAAATTAGTTTTCCATAACCGTGTGCGGTTTCAATAAGATAAAATCTTGACGGATTGTCTAAGTGACGTTTTCGCCCAAAATGACTCTCAAATTAACTTCGCAAATGTAACCTTCTGTTTGCTATTTTTATGTCGGTTTCTTTCCTCTCTTTTGTTTCAACGCAAAGATCAATTCTGAAACGATTTAAAGGCATCGAGGAGTTCTATGACTTAGCTTCGCTTTTTCGACCATTTGCAAAACAATCCCATTTTTTTTGTTGAATTTGTTCTTATTCCAAGTTGTGACACGGCGTTCGATAACGACATAATATAATTCTTATTATTTGTCTGTGTCATTAGGTGGTCCGGTTCATACGTAAAAGAACTGCTTCTTGCGAGCAAAATTCCCTTAGTCAAGCGTGTACACCACAGTCAGCTAATTTCAATCCATACTTTATCTCGGTGAAAATGTATACAAATTAAATAATTTGATTAAAAAGTTCTTGTTCCCCACCGAACCTTTTGAATAGATGTTTACATTTTCTCATTCAAAACGCTTATATTTAAATTGTTATTTCTTCCTTTTCTGACTGCAGGTAGGGATTAATTACGTTAAGTATTTCCACGTGTTATGCCTCCGCGGAAAAGTTAATGGACATCTAATCAATCAATCTCTCGCACCTGCCTGATCTAATGGTGTTTAGAGATAAAAAGTGAAAAGACATTAATTAAGGGCCGAAATCTTTGAAGCCTCTGCAGCTTATATGAGGCGTTGTTAAATTACAGTCAAATCGCGCTGATCAGTCAGGGCACACAGTCTTTTCACTCTTTCCTGAACTGTTTATGAGTTCAGTGGATTTTCAACCGCCTTCAAATGAATAGCACCAACATCACCAACGCCAGCAGCCCCTCCTGCTTTAGAGTCAAGTGCCAGTTCACAGTTGGCGAAAGAATCGCCATTATTGTCTTCTTCTCTGCGATTTTTCTTGCGTCTTTGGTGGGAAACTGCATCTTGTTCCTCGCAATCATCCGCAATGCGCGGCTACGGCGAAGTTCGACGAACTTTTCTATCCTCAGTCTCAGCCTGGCCAATATTCTCATCACAATATTCTGCATTCCGGTTTTCACAATTGACGCATTTATCGCGGAAAGGTGGGTCTTTGGGATGATCGGTTGCAAACTTGTCACCTTTTTGCAAAACACGTCCATAAATGCCTCCATTGTGACCCTTCTCGTCATCAGCGTGGAGAAGTTCCTTGTGGTTTACTTTCCGTTTAAAATGCGTGCCCAGCGAACCAAAGTCCGCTATCTCGTTCTTGGAGCTTGGATCGTTGGAATCATTGACTCATCTGTGTGTCTCAGTTACAGAACTGTAAAACAAATCCGTGGAATTCCGTTTTGCATCGAGAATTGGCCATCGCCGAAGACTCGGAAAATGTATGTTGTAATTCAAACATTTGTTCTTCGTTTCGTCGCGCTGACGTTCATGATAGGTCTCCATGCCGTCACCATCAAGAGGATCCAAGCGAGATTGCAATACCGCAGAGAGAACAGCGATGGTAGTTTTCGCGAATCGGACGTGATGCAAATCAGCTCGCACGGGCTGAAGCTCCGAAAAAAGGCTGTTATCATGTTGGTGGTAATCGTCGCAGCTAGCACGTTGACGCTCTTTCCTTACTACATCATGGTCTGTTGGAGAATGTTGGCTAATCCGCAGATCACCGACTATTTCGCTTTGAATGTGGCTGTTATCATGACATCGTGGCTGGTGTACTGCAACAGTGTCTGCCATCCCATCATATTTGGGCTGATGAGTACGCAGTATCGCAGAGCCGCCAAAACTTTATCTGTCAGTCGGAAATCTCCAGCAACAAGTCGAAATATCTCAAACACGAGAAAGCAAACGAGGGAGGAACAAATGATCATGACAGAACAGGCCTCTTAACCGCAATATCTTTTAAATTTGCAAGTGACCTCGCTGTGTTGTGCTTATAGAAAATGAACTCTGCGAAAATTTTCATTTGACCTTCCACACCACACTAAACATAGAATAAAAATTTTCGGTGTGCAGTTTGCCTGAACACAACTCAAAACAACACGGGGTTCCTTGCGTTAATTTTGAAAATGGTTAACATCGGTAACCTTATTGGTATTTGCTAACTGGGTCTGCAGTGTGCAGAATCTGCCTAATGGCGAAACAAGGACGTTCTGCGTACTGTCACGTGAACTGATGGCCGGACAACCCAGGCTGCTCACGAAGGCAACCTTTTAGTCAATGAAGGCATAAAACAGTTTGAGCTAGCTGTTAGACGCTTCGAAACAGTCAGGACGCTCAATTAACGCCAAGAAATGACTTTCTTTGAAACAATTATTTTCCTCCACTCAAGCTAGCACGGACGATGAGGATGAGAAGTTTTAGCTTCAATTAGTAAGTTTTCTTCTATTAAATTTAGTGACAGCCAAGTTAAACTGTTGAAGCTGGATACGAAAATTTGTCAACGAGCATTCTTTGGTGGATTGGCAGGTTTGACCTATCAATCAGTCTCGTAATTATAAGAAATATAGATTCCTTGGTTTTTTTTTTTTTTTTTTTCTTCTTCTTCTTCTTTTTTGGTTGGACAGCTAATTTGACTGTCATCAACATCGGAGGCAATTACACTGATCTGAAGTTTCCGATGGGAAATTTTCAGTCAAATTGCTTACTAGGATTTCAATGGCACCACTTAAAAATTAACTTAAAATCTATTGGTTACATTTGACAGGCAGGACATAATTATTTCACCATGAAACAACAACATTTGATGTAAATCTCGTAATTCGATGACAAACTTTGTTTCAGTATTAGTATTTAGAATTTGTCAGCTAAAAACATACAGGATCAAACCATTTCTTGATTTTTCAAAGAAAGGTTTTGTATCCAGGAATTAGTGGTTAACTATTCCGTCTACTTGTATCTCTCCGTTTTTAGGTGACAATTAGTTACTTGTACAAATACGTTGATTAATATGCAAAAGTTAAAAGATGGGCTAATACTGTATGAAACGTGCCGAATGGCACAACAGAATAGAAATCTCAAAACCACGTGTTAACATGGTCAAATCGAATCTTATAATGTAGCTCCTACTATCAGAATTATATATTTGAACAAATCAAACCTACCAAATGCATGAAGGTTAAATTAAATTGTGTGTTCAGCTAATTATGGACTTCTGTGCCATGCAATAAACTTATGTCTCCCTATATCATAACTTTGTTTTCCTGTTTACTGCAGTGTGTATATAATGTAGTAATATGTAAATCATGCTACCGCGCCGATTGCACATTTAGTTGGCCCCCTCTTTGTGTCACAAAGTAAATATAATCGGTATGCATGTGAACCAAAATATGTTTTTCTTTGCTTGCGCCAGAGGCTATTTTGTATAGGCGATAACATGGAATAATTGTCCTTAACGTTCTGAAAATATTTTGTCAATATAAAACCCCAACGTCTTAGCAAAAGATACAAATGCAAGGCAATTTCTTTCCCCATCCCCTTTCCTTTGTCAGCCTTTTGTTTATTCTCCTTTTAAATTTTTCGGATAAATGTGGGCTGCGTTTCCAAGAACGTTCTTGAGCGCTTAACTCCGTCGCCCAAAATAAAAACAAGTATGTCTTTAACTCCTTTTGCCTTAAGGTTATGTTATACTGGCGTACCAATATATAAATTACGTTTTCAAAACATGTTTGAGAAGTTTAGATACACAAGAAGTGTAATATCCTGTTGGAATATCCGTGTACATTTTACGCCAACAGAAAAGGTCGGCGGGACAAAGGGATGAAACTTAAAAATAGAAATAGACTAAAACTGAACAATAACTAACTTTGCAGAAATATTTCCCCTATAAATACGTCTGTATGGAGCCAGAGGTCTACAAAGTACATAAATGCATGTAGTGTATGGAGTTATACAAAGTACATAAATACAAATACCTTTTTTTGCTCAGGAAGCTTTTCTGTTTATTTTGTTGCAGCTGTCTCAACTCGATAAGGCTGTTTTATAACATTTTTGAAATTGCTTACGTTCATGGATATTTTGTAACATATTAAATCTTCTCATGATCTTGGCAATTTTTCACCGAACTTCAGTGATAGGAAAACAATTTCGGCTTAAAATGATAAGAAACCGTGAAAAAGTCATTCATCCCGTCCTTCACTTAAACATTGCGGCGAAACGCGCCAACCTTCTTAGGTCGCGTATATCCAAAGAATAACACCACGTTCCATACCAAGTAGGATGAGCAAACAAATAAACTTCTCAGCAAGCTTCGTCGATTTATGCTACGCAATTGTCCCATGTGCGTCATCCTAGACAATTGCAATATTTAAAGAGAAAGTCACACCAGTCTTAGCTGGTTTTCATCCGGGTCCTCTATCCAAAGCATGGCGAGAACCAACAACAAACTCAACCCACATATGGCACCAGGCCGAAATCGAACCCGGACCACATTGGTGGAAGGCGAGGGCTCTCGCCACTGCGTCATCCCTGCTCCCCTAAAGGTCAAGTTGAGCTGCCATTTTCAGCTGTAAGAACTAAATATTATCCATTTCTAGGATCGCAGCCAGCATAAATTAAACTGACAGTTTCGGTAATTAAATCTCAAAATTTAAATCAAATCAAATAAATCATACATCAAATTAAACTTGGCGTTTTTGAGCCAGTCTCAACGGAGTACTATCATTCTCATTGCACCAATACAATATTTTGCTATTCCTTCATTTCTCGACACTCAAAAGTTACAAAGTTGGATTTTACACAGATCAAACGTAAAATATATTTTATTAATTTTGAGCTGTGACGATCTCAGTCTGTTATAAAATGTATTTCTATTGTAACACTATTTTATGAGCTCTATGTTTTATTACCAAATTGGCGCCATAGCCGAGAATCAGAAACCTATTTGAAGATCATAAACCATGGAATCTCTTGAACCCCCAGAGAGCATCACCACAACGGAATAGTTGAATACGTCATTTTAAGCCTTCGGAGATGTCGTTTATAACAATAGTTTGCCTTAATTGAAACTGCATCAAGGAGATCGATAAGATAATAAAACGTCGCACAACTTAAATTTATATGAAGAGGGCGGTAGAATGAGCAAATGACAAGAGGCACGTGTGACGGCATGAAAAAAGCGCCGTACTGATGATTTTCCTAGAGTAAATCAGGCAAAAAAATGGACAAATGCCAAGATAAAACAAACTTGTGATAAAATTGAAAATTTAAAAGCCTTTTTCGGTAAAGTAAATCATTTTTTTTTTTTTTGTTAAAATAAAAGGTTAAGTAAAAATTATTATCCAGAAAATGTTTTGTAATCTCATTTAAAATAACTTTTGTTCAGTAAATGGCCTTGCCCACCGAGCTCAGTGGTTAGAGAGCCCAACCGGTATCTGGGAGGTCATGGGTTCGAGTCTTGCCGGGGACTTTCTTTTTGGTTCTGGGTTTGTGTCATCTTATCAGACTTTATCTGTTTACACAGCCACAAGCAAACAGGCCGTGAAATCAATTTCCACACGCATCACAACATTTTGCTCCTTTGTTTCTCTCTGAAGAAGCCGAGCCAGATTTCCATGGCCTGACTTCTCTTTCTTTCAATTCACCCGGCTTTTGATCATAACTCGATAACTGTTCGATATCAGTGATCGAGTGCCAGGCGTCGAGTTTGGGTTAAATTAACATGCGTGTTTGGAAAGAGATTCATCCCGCAGGTCACCGTGAATCTTAACGTGGACAAGTTTCTATCATTATCATATGTTTTCTCCGTAAAAATAAACTTTGAACTATGAGCTTTAAGTCGAAAAAAAAATTCAAGAAGATTAAGCATCCACTAAGAAATAGGCAAAGCTGTTTTCTAACGGAGGTAAAAAGTTTCTTATTCATCGACAGCTAATTGATGTTTTCTCAAATCTTTATTTTGCTGGATGGGAACGCAATTTGTTCGATGTTAGTCAAACTCAGTGGTCGAGTAGAAAGATTACTGACTGACAAACACAACAAAGCGTCTTTGGAAATTTGACATTTCCAAACATTATTTCATTGGGAGTCATTTCTATGTGGCCACGCCGTAGCTTTTCACAGCAATTCTGAAAATCTTTTTCTTAGGCTATCGTAGCTTGATTAAGAATATAACACAAACAGCGGTGATAAACATTGTATTCCAACGCATTTTAATACAGAACTTGACGTAATATATCAAACACGAGAGACAGTGTTATCGGGGTATCCAAACGCCGAGAAGAGAGTTGAAAATACGACGCGTAGCGGAGTATTTTTGACGAAATTCGAGGTGTTTGGATAGCCGATGAAACACTGTCTCGAGTGTTTGATATATATTCTCAATCGAAACAAAAGCTAAGAAGAAAACGGAGAAAAAATTAAAATCGTCAAATCGTCAAAAAATTGAAATTGAAATTGAAATGTTCTGTTTTCCTGTTATGGAGGCTTTGTTTTGTTGTTTTTCTTTTCGTCCAACGTAAAATTCATAACAGTTCCAGCAACAAGCTTTCATGATAGATAACTTTGGACCTCTCAGAGTACGTGGTTCAAGCGATCTTTGTATAGAAAGTAAGATTTGATGCGGCGTGTGCTTTGGAATATGATCTTGAGGTTGACGAAGAGACGAAGTTGTTTAGACAGGATTTCAGACGTTTCGTGACTTGATTACTGTGAAGACGTAAGTAGGGTAACAGGATTAAGATATCTTTTTTGGGAACTGTAGCCTAAACAGGGTTATTTACAGAAAAACAGAACATTTCAAGGCCCTCGCTAAAAAGTGACATTTATCAGTCAGTTGCTGATCATGATCGGAAACCAACATAAAATGGGATCATTTTGACGTAGTGTCCGGCAAAACCGACTTTGTTCATTCAAGAGCTAAAGCCTTCCCTAAATGTCAACAATGTCATTAGTGAGAAGTTGTCGCTCTTTATTGGCTGTTTCTCCTCATGATGTCTACCTGGTTAACGTACTGCTGCAGCTCTAGGTTCCTGACCTCTAATATGTACGATGTATAGTTTTCAAAAAATTGTTACGGTCACTTATGAAATTCTGAAAATGTTCTGTAAGTTTTTAATGTAATGGAATTTTAAGCGTTTGGACTCCTGACCTCCAGAACATAAAATTTTCCAGACAAATCGTGTTTGAGTTGGAACTTGCGAAAAATTCGATAACTTAATTTCCGTGAAGGCTGATAACATTTTTGGATCGCTAGATCTATGAGCTTTAATTAAGGTTAACTAATTACTACTCCTTAATTTGATATGGATTTATGGTGTTGGAATTACAGATGGAATCACAGGGCGAGACACGCCTGATGAATACCAGATTGTTATATCGACCCATAAAATGTTGTATAATGGATTCACTAGATCCAAAATAGTCCAATGGCCCAGAACCCAAACGAGTTTCAATTATTTGACATGTAAATGCGAACCATGGGTCAAGCTTCTTGTCAACTCAAGCCAAAACGTCGTTACCAGAATTTTTCACCCTGAGAAGGATACCGCAAAATTTCTATCGATTTCTTCTCCTCCTTCTTCACCCCTCCCCCCCAAACCCCGGCCCCACTCCAAAAAATGTCTTCAGATCAAAAATTTGGAAGTCAAAAGAGGCCTTGGCAATTTCCTTTCACTATTACTTCTTCATGAGTACTTACCCCAGAGCTGGTCAGAATCCATATTAAAGTTCAAGAAAGAGGGAATAAAATGGCAAAACTAAGCTAAGAATATCACACTTAATAATAATAATAATAATAATAATAATAATGATAATGATAATGATAAT